AAAAATAAAACAAAATAGAAAAATGGAAATTACAAACATTAAAAAAAAATAAATAAATAAAAAATTATAGGTGTTATTACATGTTATTTGTGTTATAACACCAAAAGTATAAATTGGATGATGAGGTGGACATTTTGGGTGTGATAACATGTAATAACATGTTGCCCACACCCAGCAGCCTAAGTTTTTTAATCACTTAAGAACTACTTGTTAACCATAAGTTGTTTGTGTATTCTATTACTTGCCCTAGCTATTTGATGTTTAAGCTTATTTTTGACCAAGTCACCAAGTCAAATAACCAACGACCAGTCACACCCCTCCAATTAACCAACCAATCTTAAGTGAATATGATAAAAAACAAAAGTTTTATTGCGAAGAATACTTTTAATTGCGAAGAATACTTTTAATTGCGAGAGTTTAATTGCAAGCGTTTGTTCTATGTCAGAAAAAAAACTAATTATTGCAATTTCACGGCCTTTAATTCACAAATATGGTGGTCGTTTCTTCAAATTCAGAAAGAGAAATTAAATATGCTCCTAAAATTTCTTCCTACTCATCCTCTTACCTTTGTGAAATGGTGACATGTATCACATTTAATGAAATTAATAATATTTTAATCCACTTGTCACCATTTAACATGGGTAGAAGGATTAACATGGGTATGATGATAGGTAGGAAGAAATTGGAGGAGGATACTTAATTTCTCATTCAGAAAAAGAGTTAGAAGCAATAAAAGGTATCAACATAGTTAAAAGTGAAGGTTCCTTACACATATTACTCCACAAAACAAACCTAAAGAAACAAAAGTACATCGACACTAATTGGTCAGAAACACATAACACCTTAACTTGTGTCCCAATGTTCTTAAGTACTTACCATAATAGAAACATTATTAGCTTTAAATATTAGTTACCTCATTACCACCTTCATTCTTCCTTTCCTCAATTCCAACACTTTGTTCCTCAGCAGTCATGGGTATTTCCGGAACTTCAATCGGTACATCACCATTAACAGTTTTGACCGGTTCCGGGACCAGGGGTATTTCCGTCTTTTCATCATTAGTTGACTTTTCAACATCTGGCTCTTTACCTTTGACTTGTTCGGTATCATCTTCTACACCATCAGCATCACCACCTTCATTTTTCTCTTTTTCTGGTTGCTCCTCAGACTGTGGTTGGACAGTTTCACTTGTTTTGAGCCTTTTTGATGCACGAGAAGGTGGAGTGGATGTTGACTTGTTTGACTTTTTTGTCTCGTTGCTTCTCTTTGTTGACTTTTTATTTGCACTTTGTGTCTTGGTTGGTGTATTGGCTAATTTCTGTCCATCAACCACACAACAGTAACTTTTAAAGAAACCGATTTTTCAGGTTTGGTTTAAGCTTTAGACAAAAAAGGACCAAACTGTAAAAATGGTATCCATATAAAAAAAGTAATTTGAACTACTATAATTTTTTTTTAAAAAATTTCAAAGTAGAGGACTTACCATCATAATATCACTCTTTTTCCTTGGTTTCATTGCACATTTCTCTATGTCTCCAGTTTCCAGATAGCGTAAAGCATCCAATTTGGACATAAAGGCGTAGTCACTTGAAGGGTCTAGGTAGTACTGCATAGATAGATACACTCTCCATAAGACTTTTTATATAATTAAAAAAAAAAAAAAACAATTTCTTTAATCATTAAGCATTAAATATGATAACAAACATAAATCCATACATGGAAATCACCATGGCCCCACTTTTTATACAGGACAAGACAAGATAAGACTGAATAGTACAACACATAACATAACAGGTTGTACTGTGTTTGACTTGCAGTGGACTGGGCCACTGGGACTGAGACTGATGTTGATGGGACAGGAAAGGAAGGTGGAAATGTGCTTACCGGATCCTTTCTTGTGGTGCGGCCTTTGGCACTCCTAACTACGACTTCTTTTATCCAACCTGGGGGCAACCCATCCACTTGAGTCCCCGAGACAGCCTACACATTATATCATATTATTTTTTATTTAAAAAAAAAAAAAAGGGAGATGAAACAAAACAAACATTCTTCTCATTGCTCTTCTCGCTGGTTTCTTGCTTCTTTTCAGAGATGTCTTCTGCTGCCACATCAGCAGCTTCAGACTTCTCGGGAATAACTGTTTCTGAAGAGGATTTATCTCCCTTAAAAAGAAGCAACACACATATGAATAAATTATAGCTTCAAGAGTTATACATTATTATATCATTATAATTAGAAATTTCAAGAAATAGAGTTAGAAGGAAGAACAGAAATAAGAAAATTACTGTTTTCTCAGTGGCTTTGCTGCTGTTGATGGTGTTAAGATAGTCAGAAACCTCCAGCATTGAGTGAAACTCGCGTCCAGTTTCAGGATCAATGTAACACTACAGATCATAATATTTCAGAAAGAATTCAAGAAAAATAAAAGGGGAACTAACAATAGATGATATTATAGGTTAAAACACTTTCAGAAATAGATTGGCATCATTGGGTTACTCTAAAGTTCAAAAATTTCCTTTAAATCTTTTCGGAGTCCAATTTTTTTGGGACATGTACTACGGTTATATATTTACAGGTATTAGATGCAGGCTTTGGTGTTGTTCATTTGCGAATATTTCTTTTGGCCTTTTCAATAGCAGATAGCAATATCAACTTCTCTTCTACTAAATTCCATATATTCCAACAGTTATTTATCTTGAAAAGTTTGTCTATAAGGCGTTTTCATGGTTTTTAATATTCTTGGTTTATAGTTTTAAGTTTTAGCAGTAAGTTATCAGTTTTGTTCATTAATCAGGATTCCTATCAAGGTTCCATGCATGTTCAGGTGCTTTGTCTACTAGCTCTGTTATAGAAAGGATACTTTGATACTTGAGGTCAAATGGACAACGTTTCAACTTCAAATTGGTATGAATTTTCAAATCTCTAGACCAAAATTCAAATACATTAACAAATACTACATAATATTAACATATTCTCCTTAAGTTCACACCAGAATAATTATAAATTATTGGCTTTGAATGTCATACAAGGTAGTTTTCAACTTACAAAATTATATGTTAACCTGAATACTTCCAAAAATATGCCAGCTACATTCCACATAAATTTCACAATTAGATGCAAGAATTACAAGGTATGACATCAAAATTGAAGTGTATTCTCTCCAGAAATATAATAATCTTATGTTTGATACGGAAAATCTACAAAGACACATGAAATCTCAACTCGCAATACTCTCACTAACTCAACAGCATCAAGCTACTTTCATAATTCTACTCGCAATCACATGCAGCTACTTTGCTCTCCGCATTTGCGCAATTAAAGCGAACATGTAATCAGAGCACACAAAATATATGAAACCGAAGATTGGACAAAGGAAACCCTAATTCCAACTCCGGAAAAATCGAAGACTGGTAAGAACAATTACCTCACGTTTCTCTTCCTCTGAACCTTTGACTTCTATGGTCCAGCTGGAAGGAAGCCCCTCCGGGCGCTCAATTGAGCTCATTTCGCAGGAGTTTTGTGGCGTTTCCGACTGTTGACGGTGGTTTGTGTTGCTAATTTTACAGTGAAATCGAAAGGTGAATGAATTTAGATCGGGAAAGTCGGTAGAAAAATTGTGCGTTGATCCAAATCCAAGGGGTGTTTGAATTCAGGGGTATTTATGTAATTACACTACGCAAGGTTGTTAAGTAATTTAATGATTACTTTAAACTTTGAGACATTATAGTGACCGTAGGATGACTAAAAATTTTAAAGTAAATAAATTGCTTTTTTTTTTAAATTATGAAAACAACTGTTATATCCAAAAATTTGTTGCGGATAAAATTTTAACATTATTTCGTATTAATTTTATGCTTTGACAATTCAAATAAAAAATATTTTTCATGAATATATTCAACATTTGAGAAAAAAAAATACATTTTGGTATCCGAAAATTTTCTTCATGTTACATCCTAAATGCTAAGTCGAAATCGGTGGTTATTTCGGTAAATACAACAAAATTAGACCATTAAAAATAGGTTTTCGGCTATCTATTGCAGCTTTCTGCTTTTGCAAGGATATATACGAATGTTCTGTATTTTGATGATATGTTAAGACACTGAAGTATGTTGCATACCTCAATATTTGAACACTGGAGCACTAGCGGAACTATAAAGGGGCGTTTGGGGTACTTTTAGCATCCCAAAAATTTCTTTTCTTTTGCTTTTTATATATAAAAAATTATTTGTAAACATGTTGTATGTCCTTGTAGCCCATAGCTAAAGGGATTGTTCTATGTTTACGTGTGGATATGATAACCTCATAACTCATATTATTATATTTCTTTTCACTATTTGTTAAAATTAAATCCAATTGAATGTTGTCATCCCAATGAAGCGGATACAATTGTAACATTTGTTTAAATTATGTTTTTGTGTTTTACGACTTTAAATATTAAATAACTCTTTGAAAATACAGTTTTGAATCTTGACAACGTTATATCCTAATATCAAAATTCATGGCTAAAGATAAGGATAATGTCTATATCATGGACATTCTCAACACCATGGCCATCTTCAAGACATTTCACATATACAATATTAACAAGATGATATTTATCAGTCTTTTATTAATAGATAGGAGCATGACAAAGCGGTTGAAAGAAGTTAATTTCAATATGTCAACTCATCAAGACTCACCAAGTCGACTCAATTTGACTCGCTACCAACTATATTCACACTTGTGTTTTACTACCCGTGAATATCGGATCGTGTATGGTCTTTATACTTTTATCGGCAGGATTCATGACATCAATAAAGACCAGGAATAAAACATACCGCTTTCATTTATTTTCTTCATAAAATAATAATTAATTCTTAATTACTTTTTAACAATTAACGATTTCAAGGTTTCAATATGAATTAAAATAAAGAATAACCAACAAAAGCTTCATAAACTCCTCATCCATCTCAGAACTTCAAAACTAAAAACTGTTATACAACAAAGACAAGAAGTTTTGTCAGCAATAAAACTCACTCTATACTCTTACATTACACCAAAATTTACATAAAACTCATCAAGCAACAATCTTTAATCACATACGTATACATCTTTAATTTACATTTTGTTAGGTTTTTATTATATAATTTGGATCATGAAGAAAGTGCCAGCTCAGCCCAAGCTAAAGAAGATGCCTTGAGCTCTGAAGAAACCGAAGTGTCAATTTTGCTTTCCAAGATTGCACACAAATCTTGCATTGAGACTTGATCTCGAGGCCTTAAATGAATGCAAATTGAAACCACTTCACATATCACCTTTAAATCTTCATCTCTGAAATGTTTCAGAGCAGGATCAACAACAGAAGCCATTTCTTCTGGTCTTTCAAGATAATCTTTAGCCTGTCAACCAAATTACAAGATTACCCATTAAATATTAATATTCTATCATCTTATCAAGTTTTAGTTCAAGAAATATGTACAACATTGTATGCATAAAGTACAAAGTTTCAAGTAAGAGAGAGTTGTTACCCAATCTACTAAGCATCCTTTATCCTTGCAAAGTGGTGGGCGCCCACTGATTATTTCCAACAAAAGAACACCAAAAGCATAAATGTTGCCTTGGATATCTAACTGTCTTCCTTCCAAAGAACTTGGAAGAACACAAATAGCACCCTCATTGCTAATACAACGCGAGTTATTTTCTGATCTTGTAAGAATCGATTTCCAGCTTTCAAAATCAACAAGCTACAAAAGTTCAAGAAAAACAGAAGTCAATATCTTCTTAAAATCCTTTTGGCTTCATTTTGTTACACAGGACATGACATGACATGACAACTTTGTATTGCGTTTGGTGTGCATTGGATTGAATGGGAACCAATGTCAATGGAGCAAGATTTTATAATTTTGGTACTTTATGATGCTAGAAAAACATAAGATCTCATAAAAATTGAAACTTTATGATACTAGAAAGACCGATCCTTAATAAAGAATCACATCGTATATCAAGATTTATATAAAAAATGGCACTTTATGATAACAGAAATACATAAGACCCTTTGAAGATTGGAACTTTAAGATACTAGAAGAACAACCCCTTAATAAAGAATCATTATCATATATCAAGATTTATAAAACTAGAAATACGGACCCCTAGATAAAGAGTCACATCATATATCAAGAATTACAAAAAAAATGGCACTTTATAGAACTAGAAAAACATAAGACATCTTAAACATTGTAACTTTAAGATACTAGGAGAACCAACGCCTCAACAAAGAATCACATTGTATATCAAGATTTATAAAAAAACCCCACTTTATGATAATAGAAAAACACAAGACCCTTTAAAGATTGAATATGATACTAGAAAAACGACCCCTTAATAGAGAAGCCTATCGTGTATCAAGATTTATCAAAAAGGGCACTTTATGATGCTAGAAAAACATAAGACCCCTTAAAGATTGAAAGTTCATAATACTAGAAAATACTGGCCTCTTGATAGAGAATCACATTGTATATCAAGATTTATATAGAAAATGGCACTTTATGATACTAGAAAAACATAAGACTCTCTAAAGATTGAAACTTTATGATACTAGAAAAACGAATCGTGTATCAAGATTCATCAAAAAGGGCACTTTTATGATACTAGAAAAACACAAGACCTCAGAAAGGTTAAAACTTTATGATACTAAAACACCAACCTGTTAATAAAGATTCACATTGTATATAAAAAAATTATTAAAAAAATGGCACTTTAGTCTTTATGATACATAAGACCAAACCACACAAGAGATTATACCTTAGGCGAAAAGTCTTCCGTGAGATATACTGCACTAGAATTTAACTCGGATATAGTAAATGGTGGTTCAATTTCTGTGTGAAGATACTTTAGGCCTTTTGCAATGCCTATAACAATCTTCATTCTTCTAGTCCAGCTTAGTTGGCATCCTTCTTCATCTAAAGTAAATAACACCACAATGCTTTAGCTAATGAGATAATATTGCCCCAAGGAGAGAGGAGGAAGGGGGGGACTTACAATGGAGGTGCTCATATAACGTCCCATTTGATGCATATTCAAAGACTAACATTCTTGTAAATGGAGTGCTTTCTATACAATAGCCCAGCAGTTTCCCTGTGTTCTCATGATTTAGTCTTGCTAAATCTGCTACCTGAACAATTTCCAAGAATTTAACCAAAACAGAATGAGATAAAGATTTAGGATAAAAAAGATTTATCTATTTACACAAAATGATTCAATTTCGGATTTACTTTAAAGGATTTTTAGTTCTTGTTATCTGCTTTACCTCTTTCTGATAATAGAGCTCAAGATAGCCAGTCCAATGCTCTTCTTTGATGCAAAGTGATATCACTGCAATTTCGGGCCCACCTTTCATGGTCCCTTTGTAAACCAAACTATCTGATGAGGAACCGATAATGTTGCTAAAATCTTCACATGCTACTTCAAGTTCATGTCGATTGTATCTCATCACATCTTTCAACACATTCGGATCTACATATAATCAATCAAATAAACATGAATTCAAACATTTTTTTGCTTTTAATCTTTTTGGGTAACAAACTATTTCTTTGTTTACAAAACACCAAATGGGTTACCAACTATTTGTTTTTGTTTGAAATAATGGTATTTTGTGAACACAAAGTTCCAGTTGCTTACCTTGTGATAGCATTTTTATAAACAATGGTGTTTTGTGGGAAAAAAAATAGTTGGCAGTAGCCCAATCTTTTTTCATCAAAGCCCCATTTTGTTACACTGGACAAGACAAGACATGACATAACAGGACAGTACAGAACAGAACAGAACAGGTTGTACTATGTTTGGCATGTACTGGACTTGGACTGAGACTGATGTCAATGGAGCAAAAGACGTAAATACCCTCCTCACCTGTATACATTGCCATATGGTCTCTATCACTTCTTGATTTCTTCCAAGGGATGATAATCGAAGGTTTGTTTTTGCATCTATGAATAGTTGTAAAAATAGCAACAAGAAAGAGCAAACCAACGGTTACTCCAGTTGATACTTCTAGAGCTAGAAGCCACACTGGTTTTGAAGCAGAAGTTTGTTGGTTGCTTTCATCTGTAGTAGGATGGCGCTTCATCTCTCCAGTATTACGAGTTTGAGCTTGAGGAGGAGAACCTAAACGGATGATTTTAATTAGATGCAAGAAATAGCAACATACTTTCAATGATTTGCTTATTATAGCATTCTACTTTCATGTCTTCATTGATTTGCTTATTATACCCAATTATAGCAATGTCATCTAGATGTAATTGGGTAGATTTTTAAAAGGACAAGGTTGTAGTAATAAAAAATCGAAAGTAAAATGTTAAAATTGAATAGATTTTCCGAAGTATAATGTGTTCATAAGAAAAGATTTCAAAGTACAATGCTACAATAGAAGGACTTGAAAGTAGGATGTTGTATATACACAAATAAATGAAAGTAGGATGCTTTTTCTTGTATAAAACTTTACCACATTGTTCAGAAGTTCGTTGCTTGATATCTTTAATGGGTAGGCAATTCCCTTGAAAGCTTGTCCTACAAGAATAAAAAAAGAAAATAAGAGTATGCAATGATGCAATGATGTACACAAAAAAAGGATGACATATATACCTAGGAAGATACCCCAAGCACTTAGGTATGCTCCCAATAAGAAAATTGTACGAGAAATCTGCAACTTTTAAGGAATTCGAACGACAAAAACCTAATCTTGTCACATTTGAAGCAAACCTGAACCAAAATAATCATCAAATCAAGTGTGTATGATTAATGAGGACATGACTTAATCTTGTAAGGTATATATGAGTGTTTCTTTTTGACTTAATGCAAAAAAGAATGACTTAATATAGAAAGTCAGGAGAAATTAGGCTTTCCTCATTAAGTCATAACTTTATACAAATTCGTCATCATTTACTTTTTCATTCCTTTCCACCAAGTGGGCCATCATTTTCCATCATTTACCCATAAAGCACTTAATGGAGAATAAAAAAAGAAACAAGGATGATTTGATCTACACTTACATTCCTTGGGTGTTTGAAACAATGCTTGAAGAATTGCCACCTGGAACAGATCCTCTCAACTTATTTCTGTCCAACCGAAGTTCTTGAAGGTACTTAAGATTCCCAAGCTCTGAAGGCAGTTGACCAGTCAACCCATTTGACTGCAGGTTTCTGAACCAATACAAATTTGTATAAAAAACTGAACAAAAACGCCTCTAAATTCAACCAAATCATTGAAAGTAGGCTTACATTTTTACAATGTTAACCAAATTCCCAATCTCATGAGGAATCGGTCCAGATATCTGGTTCATCCCCAAATCCAAAATTTTCAGGTTCTTTAGGGATCCAATTTCTTTGGGTATTGAACCAATGAGCTTGTTGCCATGTAAAATCCTACAAATGTAACCATATCATGATAAATTTCTGGTTTTATTATGGTATGTTACAGAAGGAAAAAGAAAAACCATAATATTTTGGGCAGTTTTGTGGTTTAACAACTAATAATTCATTTTGACATGTTATATCAGGTTTCATTAGTAATGTCTTAAGTCTTAACCTTTTTATGGTTTGATTAAAAAGATTTAGTATAAGCGGTTAAACAACAAAATTACCCACAAAATATTGGTTTTTCTGGTAATTTTCCCTTCTTATTACACTCTTGAAGGTAAAATAAGATGTTGAAAGAGAACATACAGTTCTTGTAAGGCTGAAAGCTGAAAAAGTTCCCGAGCAATAAACCCCTTTATAGATGAGCCAGAAATGTTCCTGTAGAAAGATATTTTACAGCAGTTTCTTGATGTTATTGATTTAGGTCATAATAGTTCCAAAAATTGTCATTATCAGAGAGTCAAACAATTTCATAAATTAAGTCAACCTTCAATTTTGTTCATGGGAAATGAGTGTCAAATGAGATTACTAATTCTTGTTTACACTCGCAAAAGATTATTTGAAGTGGAGTCAAAATGTGAAATAATACAGAAAAAAGTCAAAGAAAATTCCTTACAACTTTGTGACTTGATTTCCGGAACAAGAAACACCAACCCAGTTACAAGGATCTGAATCTAGAACATTCCAGCTTGATAAAACCAATAATGGGTCATCAAATATGGCTTCTTTAAACATTGCGAGAGCATGAACTGCAAAATTCAAGAAATCTTACAAACCCTAATCGAATTTCTGACTACATTGCTAAGATTATCATCATTCGGGATCATAAAGGTTTAAAAGATCATGATTTTCGTGATTCCAGAGTTGAATTTGTTCAAGATCTATGCGAAACTACAAATTAAATGAGATATATGTACCTTCAATTGGTTGACCAGCATCGGTAGTAGCTAGAAACAGTCCGAAAGTAATCAAAAAAAGTTTTAATGGAATCGATCGTTTCATCTTAATCTCTCTATCACTTGCAACTTTCTCTCTCTAGAACACTATGAACTCGTCAAAGCAGGAGTGTCCAAGAAATTACATGAAAACCCATGAAATAAGAAGATTCGGGAACAAGATGGAAAGAGAAAATCAAGATTTTGGAGAACAGCGGTCGATGAAGAATCTTTTTCAAGTAAGCAGACTCAAAGGGTTTCAAATCTCTGAATCGTTTGGCGAATCCGGAAAGGAAATCGGTAGAAAAATCTTAGTAGGTGAAGCTATAAAGATTGAAGCAAACCCCAGTTTAGTAAACTTGGATTCAAAGACAGGTTTGGTGGCAGACTGGCAGCACTGCTTCAAGAAATATACTACTTTTTTTTACTTTTTTATGAAAAAGAAAGATCAAAGAATCACATAGTAGCGAAAATGATAAACATGGAAATGCAAAAGAAGGAATTTTGTAAAGTGGGAATGTTTTAGTGCTATTTAATTGAAGGGAAAAGTGGTTTAAAGTTGTCAATTTCGGTGGAAATCTTTTTATTTTTAAGAGAAATTTTTTGGGGTTTGGAGTGCCGTAGCAGGTTTTTAACCCTGGTTAATCATTGCTCCTAAAATAATTATTTAATCATTAATAAATATTAAAATAATCCATAACTTTTATATTTTAAATGCTAAACATAACAAAAGTAATATTATAACATATATTGCTTCAATATACAATTTGGGGAAAATTCAACCACATAGATTTAGTATCAAATTATTCAAAAATCCCCCCTTATTAAGGATTTCATCAAATAGTCAAAGGGTAGGTTCAATACATTCACATCCACGATTTTTTAATTTAAGTTCTTCTACGTTATTAATTGGGTTATTTCACCGATAAAGTTATAACCGTAAAAATGTTTATTGTAAAAAAAATTATCCGTAAAAATGTTTCTCGTAAAAAATTATGTGGTTTTGATATCAATAAATGGTCCAATTCTAAATATCTTATATGGTTGGTCTTTATGGTTCATATTTTTTTTTATGGTTTTGGTCTATATCCTATCTAAAATGACGAATATGTCATTCACTAATAATTTTTTTTAATTATTTTCTTATTATTTTAATTAAAAAAACAAAAAAGAAATATCACACCCAACCTCTCACTAATCCACCCACCCTCTTTCTTTCTTCCTTATTTTCGATGAGCATCTCTTTATCTCTCTTTTTATTGCTATGGGACACCATTACTTGTCGGACTATTGTCGCCTGTTGGACACCACTAGCTGTCGGAAAACCATTGTCATCGGAACACCACCACCACTTGTCGGATATGCCTCGAAAAGTCCAAAAAAACCCACTCTCTCTCTCTCTCTATCTCTCTCTCTCTCTCTCTCTCTCACTCTTTGTAACGCTCTGATTTTTCGAATAAAATTTTCATTTTTAAAACCTCACAAAACACAATTTCACATTTCTCAAAATAATATTTATAAGTTGTTCAAAACACCAGACAACAAAATGTTTAACAATATCCCAGAATCCTTAAAACATAATCTCCAGCTGGTGTGTACAATCATGTCGACGCCTTCCCGCGATCCTGAAAGGTACCTGAAACACACTTCACACAACACTGTAAGCACGAAACTTAGTGAGTTCCCCAAAATACCACATACACAAATAATAAGCCTCTCATGGCTATAGCTCAGAGTGGACCCTCCGGTCATGTGTCTCAGTGAAGACCCTCCGGTCTCACAGCTCGGGTTGGACGTTCCAGTCCTGTATCTCAGTGAAGACCCTCAGGTCTCACAACTCGGATGGACCCTCCGGTCCTAACTCAGTAAGGCACAGAATAATATAGCATATATCACAAAGACAAAATGCATAATATCACATAACTCAATATAAGCACATAGGACCCTCCAATCGATAACTCAAATAAGACCCTCCGGTCACACAGTATTACCACTCAGGTAATTATAGTGAGAAGACTCACCTCGCAGAGTAAAGCAATATATCCCGCACTCGAACTGCTGGTCTAGATCCGCCTACACATATCACAATCATCTCTACTTAACAATTATATAAAATGTTAAGCTAACTCCTCTACTAAATCTCCAAAAAGGGTGAAAGACCATTTTACCCCTCCATGTTCTCCAAAGACCACAACTTGACCCAACCCTAAAAGTCAACGGAAGTCCATACTCAAGTCAACAGTCCATGTTGACTCAACTCGTCGAGTGCAGCTCATGAACTCGTCGAGTCCTCAGTACTCAGAACCATGAAAACCCGAGTCAACTCACTGAGTCGCTAGCCAACTCGTCGAGTCCATGCAGGGTCCAGAAGGCCGAGGAAAAACTCTAACTACTCGTCGAGTTGTCCCATCAACTCGTTGAGTTCACTTTGAATCCAGAAACGGGAAAACCCAACTCAACTCGTCGAGTTGGATGCCCAACTCGTCGAGTTCCTCAGTCCTTTTTCATTAAACTCATTTCAGTCGATTTCAATGTTCCAAACTCCATATCCAACCTCCTAGGATGAAGTTACCACGTAAATTTGATAACTTTACGATCATGCAAAGCCTCACAAGGCTAAATCACTCAAAACTAAGTTCAAGAAGGGGTTTAGGACATGAAGACGAGTCAAAGCTTCATAAAGCTTGAAGCTTTATGTACATGGGACCTAGAGAAGTCCAGATCTGAAACTCATACCCTCTGGGCAAGCTTAACTCGAGAATGGCCCTCATTTTGCACCAAAAAGCCCATAAACTCACATAAGAAGAGATCTAAGGAATGGAAAGCCAAGGTAAAGACTTTTTACCTCCAAATAGATGCTACAACCGTATGAATGCTGGATCTAAAGACTCATTCTTGTTTCAAGCTCTTCACTCTTCAAGCTTCCTCCAAGAATGCACACTTTTGGCTTCATGCACTCAAAATATGGGCTAGCTCACTAGGGTTTCTCTCTGGACGTGATAGGGTGATGAGGGAGGTGGGGTAAAGGAGTTAAAGTCCTTTAAATAGGGTGCAAACCCGAATAATTAGGGTTTTCTCTAAACAACCTCAACTCGTCGAGTCCAGCTCTCCAACTCGACGAGTAGGCTTCATAACTCGCGCGTCCATATCAACTCCTACACGACGAGTTGGGCCAACCACCTCGTCGAGTAGGCCCTTCAACTTGCACAAAATCATCAAGTCCCATATCCAGTAATCGGGGTGTTACACAAACACACACACATACACTCTCTCTCTTTCTTTCTCTCACTCACTCTCTCTCTCTTCTCTCTCTCTCTCTCTCTCTCTCTCTCTCTCTCTCTCTCTCTCTCTCTCTCTCTCTCTCTCTCTCCCCCCTCCTCCGACAGTCCAAGGGTATCACCAACAGTCAACATCAAGATACACATACGACGACTTACCCTAACTTCGACGGCGAAAAAAGGCCTGATGGTTTAAAATCGGGGCATACGGAGGTTAATGATGGCGACAGTTCAGTGGAAAAGTGCAGATTTGGTGGTTTTGGTAGAGATAGAAACGACGTCGTAGCCTTCCCCTTCGTCACCACCTGTGCCGCCTACAACCATCAGACGAACCTCCGCCCAAGTGTTATCGGTCTAAACCACTCGCCACCACCACCTTCGTCTGCCTCCTTCCCTGGAGAGCCGCCATTGCTTGTATATCCCTTAGCATCACCACACATCTGCATCATCGTCGAGCACTCTAAAGTTTCCGATTTGCATCGTCAATCTGCACTCTGTCGATTTGTACTTTGCCAAAGAACGCATCAAATGCATTTACCTGTTAACACTCATCTCCATCACGGGTGACCAAATCTGAAAGGTGACCTCAAATCTAACATCGTCGTCAGAAAACCCTAGCTTCATTTCAGGCATGAATATGGCGGAGATAACCATAGCATCTCCATTCATTCCCCTTTCGGTGGCGTTGGCCTTGGTCTTATTGATCTAGATTTGTATCTCGATACAATGAACTCCAATGGGTAGTGGCGGTGATCGGTGGTGTAGGTAAGTGACGACGCTGGTGAAGGTGGTGTGCATAGGGACAACTTTGATGGTTTTAAGGTGGTCATGGTGGCAAACCGGATGAACTCGGTCGATCATGTTTTTCCGACGAGATCGACGGTTGTCGACAAAGTTCGGTGATTAAGGTAGCGCTGGTGGGGTTCTAAGAGTTATGATAAAGATGGAAGGGGGAGGGTTATTTATTTATTTTATTTTTTTAAGTTAAAAAATGTAAATTAAATTAATTAAAGCATTATAGCATTTAAAAAATGGAAAAATAAATTATAAGGGCATAATAGTCTTTTCAAGTTGATAGGGACCAAAATCACTAAAAAGATCCAAAATTGTACCACTTATGCACCACCAAAACTTTTTGGATCAAAACCACATAATTTTAAGAAGCATATGAACCATTTTTGTAATTTTGTCAAAGTTATATATATATATATATATATATATATATGTTTGTTCATGTAAGCATTTTTTTAGAACCATGAAAACCATTTCATGCATCCATCAAATAATATCAAATGCTATAAAAAGGTCAAAATAGGGGTGATCATTATGCAAATATCTCAAACACAATTTTCATTTAGATGCTCATTAAATATGTATGAGCGTGAGCACGTTTTAAGGAAAAAATGGACAAGCAACATGTTTTTCAATTTATGCTAATGTGTTCTTAAATTTATTTTAAATATCATATTCTTAAAGTCGATTATGTAAGGCTTGGGTCTTAAGGAGGCAAATTTTAGTCCTTGTGGAATGAGATAATGATAAATTAAGAGATTTAACCATTGAATTGTGTTGGGCCGAAAGGGTAAAAAGGGAAAAGTCATAGGTCGGGTTCTTGCATGAAATATGGATTTTTGTTCGAGAAGTTTTTAGTCCAAAATTTTTAGATAATGTTGTGGGGCTCTTCAACACCTCTCCGTGGATATAAAGAACATCGAAAAGGAGTTGGAACGAAGAAATAACGACAGTTTGAAGTTAGGACAGTTTTGGGTTAAGTCGCGTACGTTGGGCGTACGAGGAGTACGTTGGGCGTACGCGATCAGAACCCAAACCCTAATTTGAGGGTTTTGAGCCATATTTAAGCTTCTTAACTCCCCCTGTTGGGTATTTAGTGTTGCGTCATGGGCTTTGTTTTGTATATCCGGATTGGGCCTGTCCATCCGTCATTATTAATTAGGGTTAAGCTATATATAGTGCATACATGTATGCCTTAGATATGTTCGTGATTATTATCATTATTGCTCTGTAACCCTAAACACCTCTACAGTCGAAGTTCTTAATCGAGCTCTTCTGAGGTGTTAAAGTTTAATCATTCGACATCAGTTAAACCATTCATGTGTTCTTCATTACGTTGTTTATTGCTTTTCTGCTTAGAATTAATCGATCCTACTAGAACTTTGTTCTAACAATTGGTATCAGAGCAGGAGACTGTGTAATCAATACACATTCCTTATGTTTGAAGAATTCTAATAGGGT